TGCTGAACTTGTTAAAAAAAAAAAATGCCCTCCTTTTTTTCTTCAGAGTGAAAATCCAAATGTGTTCATATTACAATGTGAGCTAGCAAATCTTCAAAGTAGGTTTGTATAGTTTGTTAAATGTACTTTTGTCAGCCAGCCAAAAGGATTATTCTAAACTTCAGTGGTGTACTAGGAAAGAATAGAAAAAGCCACAGGCTCCAGCAAATTTCAGGTGTGAAATTAAATTAAACAAAACAAAACCACAAAACAACAACCAACCAAAAAAAAAGCCAAACGTAAAATAAAACAAAGTGGAGAAGCAGATCTTTAAGATTTTTAGGTTTTGGCATTGGAACTAAAAAAAAAAATTCATTGTTGGTCTGTAGTTTCTTTGGGTATGTTCAGTCTGTCAGGACAATAATTTTGTGAATATCTAGCTTATTATGAAAAGAGTTTAGGAAGTGCTAGCAACTTAGGTACTTGTCAAGTAAGCCATGATGAGGTTTTGTGGCTTGATTGGGACTAAGGGAAAGTGAAACCTACAACATTACAAAAAATGCTTTTGTAGTATTTGTATGCAAGAAACAATAGAAACTGTTACCATCTACAAAATGCAACCAAATGTGTATGTTAATGTATGCAGAGCTGTATATAGTGCTGCTCAGGATTATTTCCTCTTTCTCTGTCTACTCCACTACAAACTGAGGGATTGAAGGATTGACTATTTTCTAGTTTATAAAACCCTGTGTTACTCGAGTAACGTATGGCTATTGGAAATATTTTTGTGTTTTTCAATGTAGTTTAAGCAATTAGAACCTTATAAGCGAATACGACATTGCCCAGTACAAACGATCACATTGAGGAAGATACAGGAGTACTGCCACAGACTTGGGATTCTACACCTAATCCTACCCGCTGATACTCGTCCTATAGTGGCTTATGCAATCACACACACTTTCAAACAGCCCCAGTGCCCAGGCGTGGAGTAGCGGTATTCTCATGCACACAGACATCCTCGTGTTTCCAGAATGAGTTAGTTCTCAGGCAGTTCAGTCTGGTTAGACGTGCACAGTAGATTTAATTGAATTGCTTGGATTAATGTGCTGGAGGCATTGTGTTTCCAAATGCCCGTTGTCAGTGATGCAACCTCCACAGAAAACTCCTCCATTTGTTGTCTTGGCTGGAAATGTAATTCTTTGGAAATGTAATTCTT